CCCTCCCTCCCTCCCGTCAACCTCACCTCGGTCTGCCGCTCCTTGAGCATCGGTTCCATTCCCTTCCGCAGAGCCGCCACGTGGTCGAGCACGTAGGACAGGTAGGCGTCTGGGGTGGGGGCAAGGACGTGGATGGGATGCTCGACAGGGCCGCTCTTCTTCTCCCTCTCGGTCCTTTCCCCTCCTCTTTCCCTCCCTCCTTACCTAAACGGGCGTCCACCATGCCGTAGAGCGCCTGCAGCTCTTGCAGATTTTCCAGGTGAGACTGGGAGGCCTGGAGGGCCACGTTGGCGTCCTGGGCGAGTGGCGGGGAAACGAAGGCGAGAAGGAAGGGAGGGGGGGTGCTGAGCCGACTGGCCCTGATAACTCTCTACCGCACCTGCCTGCACCTTTGCCCTTCCTTTTTTCGCTTTTTCCCCTCTTTCCCTCCTTCCTCACCACGCCGGCGTCGAACACCTCCCCCAATTTTTCCCGCAAATTTTCGTCGAATTGGAAGTCCTCTTCCACCATGCTGCGGAAAACGACTCGCTCCTTGTGAAGTAGCTTGGTGTTCTCTTCCACCTCTTCGGCTTTCGCCTCGACCTGTAGGTCCGAAAAAGGACGGAGAAAGGGAGGGAGGGGCAAAGGTGGAGAGGGAGGAAGGGAAGGAGGACGAGGGAAAGATATGGGAGGCGACGCTTAATTTGCTGTGTAGGAGTGATTACTGAGCACGAAAGAAGAGCGGGAAAGCGCTCGGAGAAAAGAGAGACGACCGACCTGCTCGGCGTAATGCATTTCGCGGTTCTCGATCTCCTCCTTGTACTCCAAAGCCCTGAGCAGATATGAGCAAGCGTCAGACACCCGCCCGCTCCCTTGCTCCTCCCCTCCTTTCGTTCTCATCTCCTCACCGTTTCTCTACGCTCTCAACGGCCTCGCGGAAAGCGATCCCATCCTCTCGCTCATTTTTTGCGCAATTCTTCACCTCCTCCATCCGACAGATGCAATGTCGAAAGATATCACCTTCCCTCTTAAATCCCCCTCCTTCTTCCTCCGGCGTCGCCTCAAGCACGTCTGAGAAAAAGGCAGCAGGCATGTATGTCCGAGAGCGAGGCGGTTCCAACGCTGCCACGTTCAGGCAGAAATCCGTGACTTCGTTGATGACGCCTCTGGGCCGAGAGGGAGGGGAAATTCCGCGAAGATGAGCGAGAGAAGGCCTGTCTCGGCCATCCAGGGCGCAAGATGCCGGCCCATGCCCCACGTATTATATATTTGCACGCAGTCTGGGCCCTTACCCGTCATCCAGTCGCTGGAGCGCACTGGTAATGCCCTCGGCGATCTCGATCGGGAATACCACCCCTGCCTCGCCCCGTCCCTCCTTCCCTTCCTCTTTTCCTTTCTGGAAGCCCATATATACTGCTGCCACATTGACCGCGTCTAACGCAGATTCAACCTCCGACGGATTGATCTCTGGTCCGTGTAGAGAAGATGGGAGGGGAAGGAGGGAGGAAGGGAGGGAGGGAGAGAGGGAGGGAGGGAGGAGGGGAGGGAGAGAGGGAGGAAGGGAGGAAGGGAGGAAGAGAGGGAGGTCATGGATTTGCTGGACGAAATGGGGAATTGCAAAGGACGACAGCGAAGTTGAGATGGTTGGGAGGCGAAGATCTCCTCCCTCAGATGCAAGGCTCTGCGCGCAGGCTTACCCTGCTCCTCCACCAGACGCAAGGTGCGTACCCCCGTGTCCTCCCGGATGCCCCGCCCGCCCATCTTCCCCTTGGGAGCGGGGCTCTGGGTGGCGACGCTCTCCAGCTCCTCTTCCTCTCCTTCTTCTCCCTCATTCATTCCCGTCGTCTTTCCCTCACCGCTTCCCCCTTGCCCTCCGCCACTGCGGGCTGCATAGAAGGAGGCTGAGCAAGAGCGGCGGGAGGTGGAGGAGGAGAGGGAGGAGGAAGGGGAAGGGGAGGCCATGGCCGAAGAGGCCGGCGTCCGGGGAGTGCTGAGACGGCTCAAGCTGTTCCAGACAGCGGAGGCCCTGGCCACTGCCTTGCTTCGACGCTTCGAGGCAGTGGTGAGGGAGGAGAAGGACGAGGGGGAGGAAGCGGCAGAAGAGAAGGCTGGGGAACACAGGTCTCCCCCTGCATCAGTCCCATCTCCTGTGTCCCTCTTCCCTTTGTTCTCGTCATCCTTGTCGTCGTCGGGGAGCTCGGTCTTGACCAGGGGGGAGGTGGTCTGGTGGGACGCGTCTGGCAGGGGGCACAGGTCCGGGAGCTGGCGGGGGATGGAGGAAGGGAGACGAGAAGGTCGGGTATCAGACTCAAAAGGAAAGGAGGACCATGGCTGCATCACGATGTACGGATTCTGAGTCAACATGCGAGTACGCGGGAGCGGATGGGATCGTATGGAAACCCAAAAGGAGCAATGGATGCTGGGGGAAAACATGGACAGGGAGGACTTTTGGGTAGAAAGCAGTGAGCCATGGCCGCGACTTACGTTCGCGTCTCCCCCTTCCTGTTTCTCTCCCAGGGAGACTGTATCCATGTGCCGAGGCTCCCACCGCGGCGGGCTTTCCCAGACCTGTGGTATAGGAGGGACCTCGTTGCAATCATCCCTCGTCGGCCTTCTTGCATTTTTCTGCGGAGCAGTTCCCGTGAGAATAGCATTTTTCCACATAACATGTACATGCATGCATCTTCTCTGCTTTTATCTCGGGGACATGTTTTTTACAGGATATAGTGCTGACATGAGGCCGTTTTACCTTCACAACACATTGCTGTGCCCAGAATACCTTTCCCACTTTCTCTCATTTTGCGTACCTTTTGGCTAGTGCTGACCCGAGACCGCATCGAGCGAGTGCGTCCGACACTGCTCTTACTGCTTACGCTGCTAGAGCTAGGATTCAAGGTGGATGTCTTTGCTTTCGGCATGCGATGTGATGACGAACGGCAAGTAAATGGGCTCTCCTCGACAAATTGCTGGCGCTGTATGAATGTAGAGAAAATTATGAAAGGGAAAACACGAATGCATGTTGCTTTTATCTGGCGGCCTATCACACGGCGATCCTGACACAAATGATGTAGCTCGGAGCATGCGAGAAGCTTGTCTGGTAAGAACGACCAAGGCCCTAAGAGGTATGCTAGTGGCGAGGAGAGCACAAGTTCCTTGCGCCACAAAGCCAAACAAATTCCACAACCTAGGCGCAACGCTTCAAAGCAGGTGTAAACACCATGGGAACTTTTCGTCGCTGGGTGGGGAAGTAGGATTATGGAACACGACGTCCAGGGGTTTGGTTCGACTAGGGGCCCGATGACATAATGTGGAGGCCAATGCTGTCGAGAATAAATCCCAGCGTGGACGGTAATGGCTTGTAAGGGACATGGATAGTGACAACACATCTCTGCTTTGAAATGAATAACATTCTGCTTTAACTGGAGGACTGGATTAAAGGGCAAGTCTCGACCACAGGCAAAGGGGGGGGGCATAAATCAAATTTGCGGGTGGGCGGGAAGCTCAGAAGGAGAGGTAACAGAAGGCAGGGAATTGCTACTGGATCCCAAGACGCACCGACATGTGTGGATGTCCACCAGTGACATGTTGGTGCTGACAAGGCCTTTGAGGGGATGTGATTTGCATTCTATCCGATGGTGTTGACAGCAAGTCACAAATGTTGTCACAAAACCAGGCATCCCCTATCCTACAGCTACTGGACTGAAGATCCTAGTCTGCTCCAGCGGTACACTGGAATTTCTTCTCCCTTAATTATCAATATTCACCACCTTTCATTACTAAATAATTCTCTACTCACACTTGTAGACAGAGTCTGCAGGTCTCACGGGCCTCAAGAAATGGTCAAAAGCAAAAACCAGCAAGCAGTTCAGGCAACCTCCTCCCTTCTACTTCCCTGGGGCCCTGCCATTCTGCTTTTTTCCTGCGTCATTCCCGCCCATGCAAGCTCTTCGATTATCTCAGATCGTCGCCCTCTTGCTGCGTCAAATCTGAGATTTCCAGACCGTCCAAAAGCCCTTCCTCCTCTCCTCAAAGCTTCCCTCCGCACTGTACTACCTCCGTTCTCCCGGGCACGAAGAAAAAAGTTTACCTTCCCGGGGGCTGATTCCTTATTGCCCTCTACCTCATGCTCCTTTCCTGTACCGTCCTTACTCGCATGTCGAGGGGGAAGCACGGGCGCCACTCCTGCTCAAGCCTCCACCTCTCCGCGCAACCGTACATCGGAATGGGAGGAAGACGCGGCCTGGCTGACCAACCAAGTCCTGACGTATCAGGCGCACATGGCGCTTTCGGCAGAAGCATTGGGGAAAAGACATGCCGTGGTAGGGCACACGCCCTTCGATTTCGGCTTTAAGCACGAGGAAAAGTACAGGTAAGTGTGTAGTCGCTACGGCACTTTCTTCCGTGCATTTGGCGAACCGACTCAGTTGGCATGGAAAATAAAGAGAAGCTTCAAGCCCAACGACATATTCAAACGAGCACCGTACCATGCTCCTCATATTCAGGCCTCCTCTGGAGATTGTTGAGGCGTCTCCGCTCCATCCCTACGAATGTCGTATTCACGGAGAGGTAGACTTGGGTGCAAAACTTGTTGCCCCTTGTCTGTGCCGGGGCACGGGAAAGTGGATGTGGTTTGCGGACATGAACCGACGTCGACGCCGTGATCCTCTCTCGAGTCGGGAGTGTGGCACTTGCCACGCCAAAATCGATTATCAGGCTTACCAACGCTTTGGCTCCGTCCTCGCGCAGCTAGTCTCGTGGCCCTTGGACCATGCGCTTACCTTTCGATGCCTACTTCTCGCAAGCTTTGTGTTTTCTTCGGTGCTCTTCGTGCAACCCCTCTCAATTTTGGTCATTCGTGTCCTCACTTCGTCGCTTTTCTGGAGGCAGCATTCATTGTGGGCGCGCGTAGTCTACGGACCTTTACCCCTGAAGATTGTCATGTACAAATATGTGGGACAATTGCTCTGGTCGTACTTTTTGAGAGCCGAGGGGGCAGTGAGAGAGACTCTGGCAGAGGCTGAAAGTATATTGCTGGAGCGGGCCTTGCCTGTGACTGTAGTTGCGGAAGACAAAGAATAAAGAAAAAACTGTCTTTGTCCAAAGTGTGCGTGAGATTTGCTGTCAATTTTGTTTGAAAAAGTCGTAAACTAGCATCAGTAAGATTTGTCGCTTTGAAGATAACACATACTCTTTTCTAGCCATGTAGCAGTAGAACATTTGACTTCATTACACGTCTTCGAAGGTAAGTCGCCAGTACCTATAGAGTAAACGACTTATGCCTGGCTGATATACCTTTCCTTTGCGGGTTGAAATACATGTACGCTTGGTATTTCAGGCATTTCATCGCCCATCATCTACCACCCAATTTTTTTAAAATTTGAACTCTCTTAACGGCTGACCCGGTCAATAAGAGTAGACGCCACTGCAATAATTTGCGGGCGACCCTGATCAGGCATTTTTCCTTCGTGGACGTACAATCGAAAGCCCAAACATAATGTGAACATTGTGCAAATTACATTGATTACGTCATGTGTGTAGCTATTATTACTATTTCGAAAAATACCTCTGACGCTCTGCAAGCGACATCCAGGTTCCTTTTTCTCGTGACGACGGCAACGGCAACCATCCTCGCTTGCATCCTCTAAGTCGACTGGACTGCTCCTGAGAGAACAGAAGCGAGAGGGACGACAGAACAGGAACGAAAAGAAAAATTATGCTTAGCCAGAAATGACTTCTTTCTGTTCGGACGTAGACTTATTTGTGCACAGCTTTTCGAGTGCCACATTTACATTCGTCTGCCGGCCACACATCCCTCATAAGCGTCGAAGACAGGCTATCATTCTGTGGACCCCTTCGACCTTCATTTTGGTCCCATCTGCAATCTTAGGGAAGAAGAAGCCTTGAGGAAGCAGCCGCGAAGAACTGATTATCGATTGGCCCTTTAAGGGCACGCCGTGTCTAAGGACTCAAATGACTACAGGCCAATCCAGCGTGAATGGGGTGAATCGTACAACTCCCCGGCGTACAAATAGATTCTGGGGTTCTCTGCTGCTACTAGGTCTGGGTATCGTCGGTTTCCTACTTATTCGACCCGCACAGGCACAAATAGATGGTGTGCAGCGTAGGGCAGCCGCTCAAATAGACACAGATGGGGGGTTTCGGTACGTCAGCAAGGAAGAGATAAAGGGTGATTAAATGATATTGTGGCCTTCATGCACATGAGCGAGGCAGATGATGCCACGAAAAGGCTGATGCGAGCATTTTGTCTTGTACGTGACTAGAGCTGGATATTAAAAAGAGCGCCACGGACGAGGACTTTTTTTTCATAATTTCATCTTTTTCGGTCACACAATTGTAGGTTCTTCCCGCGTGCCAAACAAGCAGTGGAACCAGCAGCCGAACAAGGAGATGGCGACGCTCCAATCGATGACGAGCCTCCGGAAGAGGATGCTGTTGGCCTCCCGGCCCCTCCAGGTCCGGCAGAGGACGACGCAGATGGAGGGGCTGTGGCGCCGGAGCCTCCCGATAACGAAGCTCCTCCTGCCCCCGGAGGGGTTGCCGATGCGCCCGCTGTCGACGACGGGGTGGAAGACGACCTGCTGCCACCAGCTGTCGCGGCGGAGGAAGAGGAGGGTGCTGCCCCTGAGGAGGAGGAGGAAGCAGCAGCCCCGGTTGCCCCTGTGAAAAAACCAAAAGCGGCTCCCGTGGTGGAGGCGGGGGACGACGACGGTGAGGACGCAATTGCTGCTGGCCCGGATGACGAAGACGACGTGGAGGTTGCTCCCGCTGTGGGGAAAAAGCCGAAAAAAGCGCCCAAAGTTGTCGAGGACGATGACGTGGCGGACGGGCCTGCGGATGACGAGGGAGACGACCTTGATGAGGAAGCAGATGCTGCTGGAGACGAGGAGGAGGATGCGCCAGATGCTGTCCTGGACGACGACGTGGGGGATGGGGACGTGGCCCCCGGCGTGCCCAAGGGAAAACCCAAGGCGCCCAAAGTGCCGGATATCATCGATGAGGCTACGGACGACGACGCGGAGGACGATGATGTCCGCGTGGTGAAAACCAACAAGAAACCGAAAAAACGGACGCCGACCAAGAAACGCCCGAGCTACGACCCGACGGCGGCCGCGCATTGGAAGGAAGTTCCCGCGGTGAAGGTCACGGTCAATGCCTACGAGGACGAAGACGGTGCGGTCTGCTCCCGCGACTCCCCTTCCTGCAACCTCCGGGCCGCTTTTGTCTTTGTGGGGAACCGTCAGGGGACGATTTACCTTCCCACCATGGAGGTGCACAAGTTGAAGAAAGGTCCGATCATGGTGCCCATGTACTCCCACATTACCTTGACCAGCGTAGGGACCACGGCGCAGAAAAAAGCGGTGATCTACCACCGGGAATCGAGTACCTTTGGCGGGGGCACTTCGGCCGTGCTGGTGGTGCCTGAGAACACGACCCTGACCCTGGACGCGGTGACGTTCAAGAACAATCCCCGTCGGGCTGTCTACGGCGATCGAGGCGCGGATATCAGCGTCCTGAACTGCGCCTTTGTCAACAATACCTTCGACTCGGACGGGGGGGTGTTTAGGGTGGACGGCGGGAATTTGGATATTAAACAAAGCCTGTTCTTCAACAACACGGATTGGTCCAATGGAGGGGCCATCTACACTACCTACTCCAATTTGACCATCGCTGGCACCAATTTCCTCAACAACTCTGCCTCATCGGGCGCAAGCCTGAAGACATACCAGTCGATCGTGAACATTTCCGGGTCGCATTTTGGTGGCGGCACCGCCTGGTCGGATGGAGGGGCGATGGAACTGGTAGAAAGTATGGGAGACGTGTATGACAACATCATGGAACTGAATACGGCCTCGTCGGGAGGGTGCGTGAAAGTGATCGGCTCCAATGTGACCTTCTCCGGAATCGAGTTTCGAAAGAACAGCTGTAAAAATACAGGGGCAGTCTTTGACGCCTACCTGAGCAACACCACTATCAAGGCCTGCACATTCCGTAGAAACTGGGCCAAGAACGTGGGGGGTTGTCTGAGCGGCTATCAAAGCCAATACAACACTTACCAATGCACTTTTGAATTCAACAAAGCCGAGGCCGCCGGCGGCGTGGTTTCCCTCTTGGAAGCGGAACTCTACGAATTTGAATCGACCTTTCAGAACAACACGGCTTTTATGGGTGGGGTGGTGAATGTGGAGGAGGATGGCTATGCTCATTTGAAGGATTCTCTGCTGCGAGGCAACATTGGCACAGGAAATGGCGCCGCCGTTCGGATCAATGACGCGCATGCCTACCTGGAGAACGTCTTTGCCATCAACAACACAGTCATCGCCGAAGATGGGGGGGCGGCGATTTTCGGGGAGGGCGGCTTTTTGGACACGTACCTCGGTGTTTTCACGAACCACACCAGCGAGGCCGGCCCTGTCGTCCACGTCATCAACACCACCACCAGTCTCAACTCGAGCACCTTCCGGTTCAATGAGGCTGTCAGCCTAGGCGGGGCCCTCTGGATTCAAAACTCGGAATTTGTGGCCTGGAACACCACCTTCCTCCGCAATCGCGCCCAAAAAGGCGGTGCCGTCTTGATCCAAAATGAGATCACGGAAGAGGATTTGGAAGTGCCCCGATTTACTCCTCGACGCATCCAATTCGTGGAAAGCTTTTTCCTGGAAAACATCGCCTCGGAGGCAGGCGGTGCGATCGAAATGAGCCTGGCCGAGAATGTGACGACGTTGCACGGCGCATTCCTGAACAACAATGCGACGGAGTTCGGAGGAGCCGTACACATGGAGTCGTCCAACGCCACATTTGTGGGGACGCGATTCGAAGGAAACTTTGCGCGCTTTGGGGCGGCGATTGAGACGTTCGTGTCGGAGTTTCGCACCCTGAATTGTATACTGGAAAAGAACCGGGCCTCGTGGGGCGGGGCGTTGGAATTCAAAATGTCCACATTCAAATGTGACGGCTCTACCTTCAGTAAGAACCAAGCCAAATATGACGGCGGTGCACTGAACTGTCAGAACTCCAGCTTGAAGGTGGACGAATGCGTGATTCGGGGCAACGTGGGTGCCAACAATGCGGGAGGCTTCTGGTTAGAGTCCTCAAACATGACCGCTACGGGAAGCACCTTCGATAGCAATGTCGCGGAGGCAAGGGATGGGGGCGGGGTTTTCTCCTACAACACAGATTCCAAGTTCCGAGGCTGTGTCTTCGGCAGCAACTCGGCGCGAAAGGGTCCGGATCTGTACAATCACGGGGGGTTGGCCGAAGTCTTCTGCGCGCACATTGGCCGGGTGTACAACAAACCAAAGGTGGGGGGGCACGTCACGCAGGACTGTTTCACCTGCCCTAATGGCCAATACGGCGATTATGCGAGCGCGGGTTCCTTGGTTTGCGAGCAGGAATGCGACGTGACGGCCACGGCCATGAGCTGCTACGAGTGCCCCAATGGGTGGGCCTGCGACGGGGCCCGGGATTGCAAGGCGGGCTACCGGGGCGAACAGTGCATGGGGTGCAAAGGCGGTTGGGTGAAAATCGACGGACAATGCCAGCCCATTGCCGCCATGGCGATTGTCGTGGTCATTGGCATCTTCACGCTCGGTGCCTTCGTCTGGTACTTGCTGCGCGGGCCCGTCTTGGATGCCAACCAATTCACCCGGGTCAAGATCGTCTGGTCCTTGCTCCAGCTCCTGGTCATGATCGGGCTCATCCGCAACGCCTTCGGCCGGGCCGTGCCCTTCTTCCTAGGGGTGCTCAAACCCGTGGCCCTCTGGTTCGACCTCAGCACCATCGGCTCCCTCTCCAAGCATTCTTTCCCCGGTGTCCACGTCTGTAATCTTCTTTTCCCCGTCCTTATCTTCCTGGGCCTGGTCAAGGCGCAAGACGTGCTGTACCAGCGCCGCATGCATGCCCTGCGTCAAAACCTCATGGAGGACGCATTAGAATGGCTCAAGCACGAACGCCGGGTCGGCCAATTCACCCTCCTCTTTGCGGAGCTCGCCTACGCACCGATCTTGAACCAGGCGGCCAAGGCATTCCATTGCTACGACACAGCGCACGGGCCGGCCCTGGTGTGGGAACCGAGCATGCAATGTGGAGGCACTGCCGGTCAATTCGTATTGCGGGGTCTGAGCGTGATTGCCATCGTGGTGGTCGGCCTCGTCTTTCCTCTGGTACTCCGCTACATCGTCGTCACCCTGAATCAGCAGAACCGACTCTTTCACCCCGCGACCCGGGAGATGTACAAAGCGCTTTATGAAAGTTACCTAGAGGACAGGGGACGATTGTGCCCCCGCAGCTTTCCCCAAATTTGCGCATGCTAAAGCTTT